GAACCGCTACCTTCTCCACCTCGCCTGATGTTGGTCAGAGAATCCGTGATGAAATCCTTGTTATTCAGGTACATGCTTCTACATACTTATGGAGCTAAACCTTATTACTTATGGATTTGTACTAATAATTGTATTTGTATATCTTTTGTTAGAGAAATAATCACTGCAAATCCGGCATGATGGAAGAGTGGCACCAAAAGTTACTAACCGGAGGGCGAGACTCTGTCTGCAGGGTAAGAAAGCCACTGTAAATTATTTATATCCTTTGTTAATTAGCATATGTATATGTCTACTCTATTTAGTATTGATATTGAGCTTTGCTGAACTCGCCTGTGTTTGCTTAATTGCAGGTGTGGGATATTCGCACCAAGATGCAAATTTTTGCACTCACAGGACATGACAACACAGTTTGTTCTGTTTTTACTCGTCCAACAGTACGTTTCTTGTCAGGTGGAGTTGTTGTTTCTTTCATATCTCTTATAAGCAAGGGGGACTCACTTTTGATCTGCGATGTTGCAGGACCCACAAGTTGTTACTGGATCTCATGACACGACTATTAAATTCTGGGACCTTCGATATGGTAAATATTTTATCATTCTAACCATTGTTGCTTATTAGATAATCACTTGCTGCAAGTATATGGTTAATTTGAATTGTGGGATTATTATATATGCAGGCAAAACAATGACGACTCTAACACATCATAAGAAATCTGTCCGAGCAATGACCCTTCATCCTAAAGAGTATGTGTAGTTTGCATTGCTTCTACTTTATCTTTCCAACAGAAAATCAATGAAGACCATTTCCTGATATTATATCTCTAATGTTCTCTTTGTTTTTAGGAATGCATTTGCTTCTGCATCAGCTGACAACACCAAAAAATTTAGCCTTCCAAAGGGAGAGTTTTGCCACAACATGCTGTAAGTCATTCAGAACCCAACTCTAGTGCTATTGAAGCACGAGTTTTCATTAGAAAATAAACATGTATTAGTTTTTTCTTTTGTTTATTTATTTGTTGTTTT